ACTACAAGCTGCACTGAGCCCCGCAGGGCTGGAGCCTAGCAGTATCAGCTTCACAAATATAAATATTGAGCTGGTTCCGCCTGGACCCCCTTTTTTGGGGGGTCAATTTGAATGCAAAAGTTGCAACGCGCCGAAATGTGTGTTTTTGTTGTTGTGTTACTTTAGGGGGGTGGGGGTGTGTGCGAATGTTTTTATTTTTTAAGTTTTAACCGGCGACACGAAAAATTTGACGCGGCCCGCCGAAAGGGTTTACTATCCTGGCGTAAAATTTCTGTGACCAATCGAAGATTGTTCTCTTCCCTGGCAGAAAAAGGGAACAGCGGCGTGGCTGCGCGTGTGTGCGGCGGCGCGTAAAATTGGACTTGTCGGGGAGATCCGCTGCGGGCTCAGGTGCGCGCTGGTGAATCGGGGAAGGTTTTTGCTTTTGTCGAGTCGTCTTTTTTTTTTTTTTTCCTTTATTTAATTGACCAATATTTTTTTTTTTTACGCAAATTACGATGTGTAAAGGGGCCGGACATCACAGCAACCAATCAGATTTCTAGAGGCAGATCGGCTTTTAAGATGAGCTCCGATTGGTTACTCTGGGTTGCTGCACTTTGCGCACCGCCGCGTTTTCTGTCACGGTCTGTGTCCGCCACATCGAGGATAAAATGTTGGCTGATCATTGAATAATATTTATATTATAAACAATTGTGGGATTATCTTCGTCGCGGGCGTAAACCGCGAAGGGTTTCGCGTTATTAACGGTCTTGTTCCTGTCGCGGCCGCAGTAGCTGCAAATTTTAGGGGTTTTTTTCAGAATTTTTTAAACAAAATTGGAAATTTCTTACAAAAATTTTGTTGCCGGTTTCCGGGCGTTAGCTCCTAAACTGTTCAATGAATGTATCGGCGATACGATGCATGAAAGGCAAGGATTGTACAACCCGAGATTGGCGCACGCACGGCCAAATGAAGCAGCTGGGTGTTTTCCGCCATACTGGTGGAGGGCGCCAGGGAAAGGATTGGGAGAGATTCCAATTGGGGTAAAAATTGGGTGAGAAGTCGAAGGCTTCCCTTGCAGGTGCCATTGGCGAATCTGGTCTACAATAACCTTTCTGAGCGCCGTTTTGTGGCCCCTATTGTGTGGCCCCTATTGTGTGGCCCCTATTGTGCGGCCCCTATTGCAGATCTGATTAAGAAAAACAATCTAATAGATACATTGAGCGGAGTTACTAAGGCAAACGCCAAAAGTCAAAATGCAACACCCCACTCGGCTCACAGCTTTCCTGAGCAGGAAGTGCAATGTGATTGGTCCTTAGGAGTCATTGCACATCGCAACGTTCAGCCTGTACAGTGCAAAGTGCAGCTTCTGGAGCAACCAATCAGAATCGTTCCTGTGTTCTTCTGATGTGATAGATGGATTCTGATTGGTTGGTGTCACTGCACCCTTAGCGTAGTTTATCAAATAAGCCAATAGCACCGCTCTATGCCGAGTCACTTCATTGTATGTTTATTACTGTTTATATTATTATTACACATTTACTTTTATATAGCTCTGACATATACCGCAGCGCTGTACAGAGAACACTGAGCCAGTCACATCGGTCTCTGTACAGAGGAGCTTACACTCTAATGTCCCCTCCCCCACAGTCACATCAGTCTCTGTACAGAGGAGCTTACACTCTAATGTCCCCTCCCCCACAGTCACATCAGTCTCTGTACAGAGGAGCTTACACTCTAATGTCCCCTCCCCCACAGTCACATCAGTCTCTGTACAGAGGAGCTTACACTCTAATGTCCCCTCCCCCACAGTCACATCAGTCTCTGTACAGAGGAGCTTACACTCTAATGTCCCCTCCCCCACAGTCACATCAGTCTCTGTACAGAGGAGCTTACACTCTAATGTCCCCTCCCCCACAGTCACATCAGTCTCTGTACAGAGGAGCTTACACTCTAATGTCCCCTCCCCCACAGTCACATCAGTCTCTGTACAGAGGAGCTTACACTCTAATGTCCCCTCCCCCACAGTCACATCAGTCTCTGTACAGAGGAGCTTACACTCTAATGTCCCCTCCCCCACAGTCACATCAGTCTCTGTACAGAGGAGCTTACACTCTAATGTCCCCTCCCCCACAGTCACATCAGTCTCTGTACAGAGGAGCTTACACTCTAATGTCCCCTCCCCCACAGTCACATCAGTCTCTGTACAGAGGAGCTTACACTCTAATGTCCCCTCCCCCACAGTCACATCAGTCTCTGTACAGAGGAGCTTACACTCTAATGTCCCCTCCCCCACAGTCACATCAGTCTCTGTACAGAGGAGCTTACACTCTAATGTCCCCTCCCCCACAGTCACATCAGTCTCTGTACAGAGGAGCTTACACTCTAATGTCCCCTCCCCCACAGTCACATCAGTCTCTGTACAGAGGAGCTTACACTCTAATGTCCCCTCCCCCACAGTCACATCAGTCTCTGTACAGAGGAGCTTACACTCTAATGTCCCCTCCCCCACAGTCACATCAGTCTCTGTACAGAGGAGCTTACACTCTAATGTCCCCTCCCCCACAGTCACATCAGTCTCTGTACAGAGGAGCTTACACTCTAATGTCCCCTCCCCCACAGTCACATCAGTCTCTGTACAGAGGAGCTTACACTCTAATGTCCCCTCCCCCACAGTCACATCAGTCTCTGTACAGAGGAGCTTACACTCTAATGTCCCCTCCCCCACAGTCACATCAGTCTCTGTACAGAGGAGCTTACACTCTAATGTCCCCTCCCCCACAGTCACATCAGTCTCTGTACAGAGGAGCTTACACTCTAATGTCCCCTCCCCCACAGTCACATCAGTCTCTGTACAGAGGAGCTTACACTCTAATGTCCCCTCCCCCACAGTCACATCAGTCTCTGTACAGAGGAGCTTACACTCTAATGTCCCCTCCCCCACAGTCACATCAGTCTCTGTACAGAGGAGCTTACACTCTAATGTCCCCTCCCCCACAGTCACATCAGTCTCTGTACAGAGGAGCTTACACTCTAATGTCCCCTCCCCCACAGTCACATCAGTCTCTGTACAGAGGAGCTTACACTCTAATGTCCCCTCCCCCACAGTCACATCAGTCTCTGTACAGAGGAGCTTACACTCTAATGTCCCCTCCCCCACAGTCACATCAGTCTCTGTACAGAGGAGCTTACACTCTAATGTCCCCTCCCCCACAGTCACATCAGTCTCTGTACAGAGGAGCTTACACTCTAATGTCCCCTCCCCCACAGTCACATCAGTCTCTGTACAGAGGAGCTTACACTCTAATGTCCCCTCCCCCACAGTCACATCAGTCTCTGTACAGAGGAGCTTACACTCTAATGTCCCCTCCCCCACAGTCACATCAGTCTCTGTACAGAGGAGCTTACACTCTAATGTCCCCTCCCCCACAGTCACATCAGTCTCTGTACAGAGGAGCTTACACTCTAATGTCCCCTCCCCCACAGTCACATCAGTCTCTGTACAGAGGAGCTTACACTCTAATGTCCCCTCCCCCACAGTCACATCAGTCTCTGTACAGAGGAGCTTACACTCTAATGCCCCCCCACAGTCACACACTATTATTATTATATTGGTCTTGTTTCCGCCCCCTCCTGTAATACAGACCGGTCACTGCTGCTCTCTCTCCTTGTGCAGGGTGACTGGTCTTGTCTCCGCCCCCCCCCTCCCCTATAGTTTCCTGCAGTGGTTGGAGCCTGTTGGGCCCCTCCCACAGCTCTGCTCTCTGCACAGGATATGTGCAGCGCAGTGATGATGTAATTTACAAGGTAATATCTGGGTTTGCAAAGGAATTTGGTGACCACAAAAGTGCATTTATATCCTTTGTGGCCGATGAGGGATAGATTTCGATGAAAGTTTTTTGTTCCCGGAGTTCAGTTAATCAGTCATTAGATGTGGTATTTTTTGCCCGTTTTTCTCTGAATTCGTTATTCCCGCGTCTATTTTTTCCCGTCTAATTACAGACGCTTGTGTGCGGCGAATTCTTGAATCAGCATCGTTTACGTGTTCACGTCGCATCATCACATCAACGGCATGATTGTTATTCAATTACAGCCTACGTAACGATCGGTCACGTGACCGCGCTCTTGCCTGCGTTCGCCGTCTTACGACTGGTTCACCTCACCCTTACCGGGGGCGGCCAGCGCCTGTGATTTACGTCTCCCGGTACTGATGTGTTCGTTTGAGCGCGCCCCGCGCCGCACATCACGCCCGTGGGTGTAAAATGGAACGTCGATGTGTCCCGGGGACGTTAATGCGAACGTCGATGGAAGCTGGGCGTAGGGTGGCGGCCCTCGGATGCACCTACGCAGCCTCGTCAGAGGTAGACGCGCAATAAGCACCGGAGACGTACACATAGCTGCTCGCCATCGCAGGACGGACTGCGGCAAGCACCGACATGCCACCTGCAGCGGCTTGTTGGGACTTGTAGTTCTCTAGAGATGGCAGAGCTGTACAAGAGCGGTGTGAGTCACACCGTCATAGGTATTGTGTGTGTACAGGCGGGTGGGTGTCACCGCTACAAACACAATGCAACACTCAAAAGGCTGAATCTTTCATGGAAAGCCGTACGGAAAAGAGGAT